AGTAGCAGCGGGTACTGCAAGTGTTATAAAGATATCGATTTGCGTCAGGAAATAATATCAAGGAGTGATGTTTTGCCCTACCTGACATGATGTCGTACCAAATATCTCAGTAGGTCCCCAAATACTAGCGAATAAAAATTCGCAAGTGATTCGGGTGGGAATCGAACTCACGACCTCCGGATATCTAGAATGATGTCTCAAACACTAGACCACCGAAGGTAGGGCAACACATCACTCCTATGATATTTCCTGACGCAATTTCATATTTTTATAGCAAGATATTGATACAAAGACACTGTATTTATATATTTAGAAATAAATACTATAAATTTTACATATGCTTTTATGTCAGTGTTAACATTTGTAATGTATACTTGTTTCTAAATTACTACATGTGGGATAAATAAATTTGTGTTCTCCCTTTTGACATATGTAATAATGATTTTCAGGATTAAATAAATCGTTTTGTGATTGCGTATTGTATATATCTAAATATATTTGGCTACTGTAAACTTATTTTCAACGTAGTTATATTGTATTGGCTAAGTTGAAGCAACTCCTAACTGTTAGTATAAAATCATGATAGCAAAATAAGAACATAAGAATACATTTTTAATTTAACTTGTATTTTATAGTTTATTTTGTTGTCCTTGCACCATCATGTTATGTTGCGCCTTCTAAATGCATTACAAATAAATCATTCTATATTATTACAGATATTATTAGTAGTTATTAATTCTAATATAATTTGTTTTTATTTCTTTTACGTCAAACAGCAAATACACTTCGTAATTACAGGATTGACATGCTTTATTATCCAAGTCTCTTATTGAGGCTTAGGGAGTGAAATTGTTTTTGTTGTGAGAAAAAGTACTGCAGTGACAGGAATTGTACTCAGGACCCTGGAATCAGAAGGCAAGCGTATTAACCACTAGGCTATTCCAGTTGCGGCGCCAGGATTTCCCCGACGAGGGACGTGGTCGGTGGTCGCTAAAAACCTTTCGAAAGTGCTCCAAGGAACGTGGCCCATCAAAATATGACAATTTAGGGGTTTCAAGGGCTTATCTTAGAGTCCATTAATATGTACAAAATACATATATATATTTTCTTTTAATTTTTTTTTCTCCCCGACGAATTGTGGTTTTATCCCCGACGGGGGAGGGGGGAGGGCTATACGCCTCCACCCCCGTAGCGCCGCCACTTGGCTATTCAACTCCACTATTAACTATTTAGTATATCAATATTAATATTTAAATTCACTTACATAAGTAACCCGCTAATATCTGTAGTAGAAAAGTTTATGATAGTAACATTTGAAACAAACTCATGGGCATAATATTGCAATAGTTACTTTTTTATATTTCAGAATTTCCAAAGTATACATTTACAAGACAATCAAAGTAAAAACAATGATCTAAACAAAGACAAAAAATACGAAAAAGCAATTTTCTCAGTCTCCACTAATAAAGTTCTTATGGTCAGAGTGATACCCTCCACCCCCTGAAACTGAGACCGACCGAGCAGCATACTTATATATTTTTATAATTCTATTTTCTGCTATGTAAACTTTTCAACAAATAAAAAACTTATGGTTAAGGAGATATCCTCAACCCTCTGAAGCACAAATCAATCAAGATTCATCCATTTAAAAAACCTTCCCACTCCACCAAAATTTTCCTTAATGTTATTTTTTTTTTTATGTTTTTAATTTTTAATTTTTTTTTTGTTCACCACATTCATGGGGACTCATGGTTCTTACACTGCACATTATTTCAACTGACATCACTTCTGTCAAGAAGGAGGAAGAGAGGGAGAAGAAAAGAAAAAAAAAACAGATGATACAAAGTAAAACAGGATGGTAAACATAACCAGTAAGGATTTGAGAGACATGTGTTTTTTTGGTAGATACTGTTAAAGTACTAAACTCACTTTTCAAAATTAATTCTCCCTCCTCTTCCCTGCATATTCTCATTGCTTTCTCTTAGTAATATTTATTTTTTTCCAGATCAAACAGGGAGGGGGTGGGGGAATAGGAGAAGAGAGAATATCACTGTCAACATTATCAGTACATGTTACATCACCTTTATCAGTTCCAGGACCCTGTAAAGCTGTTATTCTTAATAATAGTAACCACCAACAGCTAACATATATATTTTCATTAACCTACTATGGAAAATAGTAATTATTATAATCGAACCAAATAATTGTTCACCTCAGAGAATTTTCACTTCTCATGTATCGATTATTTAGTACATGTTTATTTATTAACTTATTTATTTATTTAAATAGTTACTTGTTACATGACTATGATTGTGAAGTTGAAAAGTTAGAGGGTAGCTTACGATGTTCCATCATGTCCTTATTAAACATTGTATATGTACCTTTGATGATTTATATTATGGTTGTGAAGGTTTGGCGTCTTTTTTTATGTTAAAGAAAGGTCTATATATGAAAACTGAGGTCACTTTTTTTCATTTTAATTTTTTGATAAAAAATAGTCTTATGATATTCACCATGAAACCTCATCAACAATTCTGGTCTGGCTTATAACTAATCTAATGTTAAAAATCTTCATTCGAAAAATAATATTTGTCCTTACAACAAACCACGATATTAATAACTGAATTGCTAGTAGTTGTTTTTGAAATAGAAATTAATAGAAATGTTTTAATTTTTACTCATTATATTTTAACATTGTGATTTAAAGACTTAAAATGTCTTAGATGGTTACAATAATGAATAATAAAAATAATTTGATATAATGTCGATAACATTCGGCACTGCAAATCATTCTCCAACTCCTGCATACTATTCACAAAATATCCTGCTAAAGTGGGAGCTTAGGCCAAAGACATCATAGTTTATGTTAATTCATCATGTGTTGACCACTAAATATTCTTCAATAAACATCCAAAAACATCATAAAACGAGAAACAAGATGTATAAGCCCCTCATAGAGAGAAACCGTATCTTCTTGTACAGTGATCTTGGCTGTAATACAGTACCCGCGTAAAATGAGAAACTGCCCCGACAAAGGGGCTGCAGCACATCACTCTCCCTAGAATTATGTCAAGACTGGAGACCAATGCTGAGCTCGAACAGACTACATTTTTCCAATACCATTATCTTGTCTCACTATTAGTTACAATGTTATTATAATAGCTTTTTTCGTTCAAGACTAAGTCGTTTTCGTTAATAATATTATGTTATGCATCTTACTGCCAATAACAACAATTAAATCTGGTTTCCTATCGACGAGCAAATCAGAATGTCTAAGGTTCTGGTTCTGGTGATTAAATCTAACGTTTGTTACATTGCTTTGATTTTTACTACTGTGGACGAGAAGTAAAAAACGACATAGTTTTCATCGTGCTGGGCCCCAAACAAAAACATTACGGTAACGATTCTTACGAGCCTCGAACGAAAAATCCTGTCCTAACATTGTTACATGCCTGTTACGTCCAGATTTTTTCTCCTTTTTTTGCGATTGCAATATCCTAGCATTTGTCGAAAGCACGTTTTACATCTGAACACTTCCGCTGTATTATATACTTATTACATATAAAATGCATGGGAAAAATAGAGACGAACAACCACCAAATTAAGTGTACTTTTTTTAGGTGCCATTTTTTCTATGAATTTATACCATTACAAACGTTTGTAATAAAATTAAACTAACACTATTAAGTATAAAAAATCATAACTCTTTTACTAATCGTTCGAAAATTCTCATTATTTTAGTGAAAGAGGTGGAAATGGTGATGGAGTCAATGGTAGACCCCTTATAATTAGTGGAGTGGTGATTGGTATTATATCGGTTGGTGATTATAGTGGTTTTGCGTGCGTGGAGACGATAGATTCATAACAAGCAACAGGACAACCCTTATAAAACAATTATGATGTAAAATTATAATATATTTTTGCATTCTGCACTATATTATGTCGTGCTGTGAAACTGTTATAAGAATTCTCTCACTTATCAAGAAAGTCATCGGCTGATCTTCCTTCACATAAGTCATCTTCTTGCTCATTATTTTTGTCAATAAATTTCTGCATTTTTATAAACGGAAACTTCATTCTGATGGTCAATGCGTTTTTTCGTCAAAGCACCTACTCATCTTTGTTACAAACTGCATCAATTGTGTGACCTTTTTTTTTTAAATAAAAGAGAGGAAGCACATTTTTACAGTCTTCTAGATTTTGGTGCGTTTGGAACATAACATTGTTGACTTATTGGTAAATTAGACACAAAAAATAATGAAATAACCCTATTGGCTACCATTATTTACTTTAGAAAATACTATTGCTCAAATATATATTTATAGTTATTCATGTTATTGTCTTCTTTGGTCTTGGTCTTCTTGTAGATTTAGTGTATTAATATTATTCCAGTGTGTTAATTTTACAAGCTACGATTTGTGATTAGACCAATTCTATAATCAATAGAAGTTAAACTTAATAAATGTCTATACTAAAAATACCAATTACTTGATTTCAATGAATTGTGTGGCCAATATAATATTTGATTTTCATTACATATAATGCATGTCTTTCGGTAATGTATATATATATATATATATATATATATAT